ACCCGGCGTGCTCCGTCCCGGCTTTGTAGGGATGCGAGGTCAATGGTCTAACGACTACGGCATGCACGACTATGAGTACACCCCCCCCATACTTGCTGAAAAGTGGGTGCAGCAGTGCTGCGGGACGAGGTACTAAATTACAATAGTGCGCTGTTGGTGGCTTTGCGTTCGAAGTATTTTGTTTTCGGCTTCCTCCCCACGTTGAAAACCTCGCCGAGACGCAGTTCTACAGCTTTGCTGCGTAATCAACCTGGGGTCCTGAATGAAGAAAACGGTACCCCTCCTATTGTACATATGCGGGGCACCCTGCTTCTGAGATTTTTGGTGTCCATTAAGCGGGGAGCGACATTAATACCACTCACATTCTTTCGGTGTTTAGAAATTTCTGAGATGTAAGAAGAGAACACGACGCCTGCTGATTGGATGATGCAGATAGTTCCATCCCTGGGTGCAAGTGCAAAGCTGCCTTCCCACCTGAGCCGTATCTTCTCTTTAAAGCTCTACCAAATGTCCCCTCGAACTTAGGGGACATTGGATAGGGCGTTTAGAGAACAACTGGCGGGAGCGTGGTAAACGGGGCACGAAAAGGAGATTTTCAAGAACTTCCCTCTAAAGGGAAAGCAAGACCTACTATAAACCACGCCCTGCAGAAGTACAGTTTGCCCGGTGTCTCCTTTCATCGGCGGGCTAGGTGCTTCTTGCGCGCTTGCCCCTACTTTAGTAAGGTTTTCCACCCAAGGGTAAACTGACGCGGCGCAACCTCGCTGTTGAACCCGCGGCATCATCGTCCCGCGATTCGACCTGTCATTATCCTGATACTCTTCCCCATAGTGTGTTCCCCGTGTACCTCGGCACCCCCCTCGTCACGTAGTTCAAAGGAGGAGACATCCATGCAATCATTCGCGAGGCAAAGCAGATGAAGAAGATGGGGACAGCAAGTGTCCCCAAAAGCCGACCTAGCCCTAACGATGAGTGTCTTGAAGCGGGGACGACTGAATGACGAGATCTTATCTGCCACATCCACTGCAGTACTCCAGTACAATGCATACATTAATCTTGCGAGAGGTCCTCGGTGGCAGCGATAGACCGTAAACGTCGGAGGTTCCCCCCCGGGGAGGGGATCGTTATTTTTTCTGAGACCAAACACCCCCGGGGGAAAATTGACATACCGGCGGAGCGGGGGGGGGGGGGTACTCATAGTCGTGCATGCCGTAGTCGTTAGACCATTGACCTCGCATCCCTACAAAGCCGGGACGGAGCACGCCGGGTTCTCACCGGACCAGGCTCTCACATCACCAAGCGCGAAGCGCCGTGAGATAT